TATTAGTACATATTGAGAATTGAAAACCCTAATTCTATACCACCAAGAGAAATAAACTTGTAGCAAATAAATAAAGATGCACGAAAAATTCATAAGGTTTATAGAGATTAACCTAAAAGTGTGATTACATCCTCGTCCGTTGCTGTAGTAATTCATTGTGATAAAAAGAAGTTTACTAGAAAAAAATTGCACATCATGTTCTCTCTCTCTTTTGATAATGATTAAATAAACTATAATGACGCATCCCTCTTTATATGAAAAATAGAACAAAATCAAAATTACAAGTGTTGGAATTTCGAAACCATCCCTATTGAAATTTTGGTCTAGAGCAAGATTGAGACTTCTTGTACCCTTTCCAACCGTCATGGCGACCTTACTGCTAAGATCGATATGCTTAGCGACAATAATCATATTTTACAACTTAACAATATACTATTCTTATCATATTGTACGCAGATCAATAATGTAATATAACTTGAGTTTTATTGCTCTTATAAGTTATATGGTCTATTTAATCTAAAAATAATTAAGATGCATTATTTAATTAAAACTCAAACATGAACCAGAATTGCTCAAAGATAGAGGATTTGAAAAAAGCTGCTCAAAGTCATATTCATATATAAGTCCATACAATATGATAATGGATATGTTAACGATATGTAAAGACTTTGGAGGTGGGTTTAATTAGTCGTAAAAGGATGTGGGCGAAAGTCAGTTTCAATATAGTTGGTGGCCGCCACCATAAATAGCAGGTGGGCGTATGCAAATGTGGGCAAGTCTACTTATTCTTTGTTTGCCTACTGTTTATAAATGGTTTATAATTAGAAAAATTACTTTTTATTTACATATTTAATGGAATCTACAAGTACTATTTATCTATTGATCACTTATTTTTATCTACTTAATTTAAAACTGATTATATATAGTTTCCAAACACGTTCGTCCGAATTTTAGATCAAGTAAAAGATTGTGCATATACTTCATTAGATTCGTGCATGTATTTATTTTGTACATGACAAAAATTAAATTAGTCTTGAATCCAAACAAGAGTTTATGACGTCTATTCAAATAGGACTCCATTACATGAGACTTTCATTAACTATAATTAAATTATAAAGATAAGTCTCAATTATCGTTCTTTACATAATTTTCAACTATTTTTATTAAATTAGGTAGGAGAGTGTCTCAATCGTATCACCTGTTTCATTTCACTTTACTTTCCTGTCATTATTCTTCATGATTTTTGCCCCCAAATTACTCCCAAATTTCTTAGTCCTTGATCATCTGTGCCTAACCTAGTTCCGTGCCTATAGTTTGTGTTCATAAGATTTTATTACTAGATATTTAAAAAATATATTTTACGCCTCTATCTGCATGACAAGCTGCGCAACTGCTAGCCAAAAAAAATGTTATGTAAACATCCTCAATACACTTAAAAAGGAGTATGTCACCTTTGCTATTTTCTATTTTCCGTTGGGGAATTTTACACCGATTACGTGCATATTATATTTACAAAAGCATACCAGTTATTTGCGCGAAATCGAATCGTAATTTCGACTTACATAATAGGATTTAAGAAGCAAAACATAAAAGTTGCAGAATCTGAATGCATGGATATGGATTAGTCCCTTTCGATTCTTGAATGAANGCCCGGACTCGAACCGGAGACCTTCAGTGTGTTAGACTGACGTGATAACCAACTACACCACGACACCAGGTTGATCCTTGAAACGAATACTTTTATCAGTATCCTAAAAAAATGTATTCAATAACTACTGAATTCCCATAGGAGAGATGATTCATTAACATCATGTTTCCAGATGAAAACTGTCTCCAAAGACAATATTTTGTTATAGTCTTAATCCATATTTACTATTTGTGTTTAATAATCAATTATTATATTATAATCACAAATGATGTATACACGGCATTATACCCCCTCACATAAAGAGGGCACACATACAATAAAAAATTCGTGAGCTCCTCCAGGTGAGGGGAGTGTAATCGATTGTGTACACTATGAGGTATACACATAGAATTATCATTTTGCCAATATATTCACATGCACATATTCTACATAGTATTCAAGAGAACCCCACCTCATGTGAGTGTGGGAAACCTTAATGTACAAAAAATTATGTACACTAAGCAAAGTCATAATTTAAAATTGTGAAGACAAGTATAATTAGCTGCAATATAGCAACTTATTTGAACTTAAGATACTGAACGTGCTAGGGCTAAACTAAACTCTCGAATTGAATCAAACAGTTCTTCTTAAATTAAATACCCAAATGGGTATCTGAATCGAGAACAGACGAGTTTGGTTCGATTCTAGATCAAGAACCGAATCTCCTTAATTTTTTAATTAATTTATTTTAAATAAGTTAAATTATTTTATTTTTTCTAAATAAATTTGCTAACTAGTTAATTTAGTTCAAGCCCAAAAATATGATTTTCCCACTTCTAATTTTCTATTCAAAGTCAACTTAATTAAATTGACATAAGTTTTATCCAAACTGTTACTCTGCCATAGTGTCTTTTTACTATTCTGGATAAATCAAATCAAAGCTCGACAATGCATCTCTTACTTATTTTGAGCACGCTTATCTCCCTCTTCATATGATTTTAACAATTAAACATATGAAGAACTCAAAAAGAGAGACGTAAAAGACATATAAGATTGAACTACGTTATTTTGTAAGAGTTAAAATTGAATATATCATTAGTTAAATTAATGCCACTTTGTAAATATTAAAAGAATTAATTATAATAGGGAACCTGAGAACTGAATGGAACCAAACTGAACCGAATGGAACCAAACTCGAACGGTTTCATAATTAAATTTGGACCTGACGATTTCACTTACTAAATATCCGAAAATTTGGAGTCCGATTTGTTTCTATTGAGAACCGAATCGAATCAAATCATGTCCAACCCTAGAACATGCAATGATTTTCTTCTTAATCATGTCTCGAACTAAATATACCAAATCGTGTCCTAATTGAACGCGGAACTAATTTTCCCTTAATAATTTTTTAAGTTGTATCATTATCAGCAAGCACTCATTTATCGACAGAAGTATTTAAAAATTGAGAACAATAAAAAGTTCTCTTATAGCTTGAGGTTGTAGGTTTGCAAATTGGTACAAAAGATGAGCTCGGAAGTTTTATTTATGAAAAAGTAATAAAAATGCATGAGTTGTCTTATTATTTATAACGTATAGAACACCTTATTCATAAAGTATAAAGAAGAAGATTTAGAAAGATCAGGATCTTACACTAGTCATTAAAAATTGTGGAATTTTCTTAGTGAATAATAAGAATAAGAATATAGGTTATTGTAATTGAGAATAATTAAATTATGATGAATATTTTGAGAAAGAATTATTATTTCTACCACATATTTATTTTAACCTAGAATGCTATAGTGCATTTGTATTCACTTTTACATATATCATCATAAACTACCTAATAAGCCCCTGTTTTACAAACATTATTTTAAAACTTTTTTTTTTTTTTTTACATAGTCATTTTCAATCATAAATTCACACAATAAAACATTTTGCTCGTAAATCTACAAATTTTTCTTACTTTTTAATCACACGTTCTCCAAAACTCTCGAATCGAATCTGAACCGAATCGAGCGGTTCTTTTTAAGTTAAATGCTCGAACGGGTATCTGAATCGAAAATCGTCGAGTTCGGTTCGATTCTCAATTTTAGAGCAAGAATCAAAAAACTGAATTAGGACTGAATCTCTCTAATTTTTTTAATTAATTTATTTTTAATAAGTCAAATTATTTGATTTTTCTAAATAAATTTGCTAACTAGTTAATTTAACTCAAATCTAAATATATGATTTTCATATTTCTAATTTCCAGTTCAAAGCCAACTTAATCAAATTAACCTAAAATTTATTCAAATTCATTACTCTACCGTAGTGTGATTTCTACCGTTCTGGAGAAATCGAATTGTAGCTCTACAACGTCATTCTTAATTATTTTGAACTCCTTATCTTCTTTTTACTGTGATTTTAACAATCAAATCTATGAAAAACTCAATAAAGAGATATGCAAAAAAATATAAGATTGAACTACGTTATTTTGTAAGACCTAAAATTGAATATATCATGAGTTAAATTAATATAACTTTGTAATTATTAAAATTTTTTGTTATAATACGGAACATGGGAACTGAATGGAACCGAACGAATTAAATTGGGACCAGACGATTCCACTTACTAAATACTTGAAAATTTTGGTCCAATGTCCAGCCCTAATCAAAACTTATATATATTTTTTTCATTCATTTTGAATGTTTTGAAAACACTCAAAACACAAAAAATAAAACAAATCAAACAATTAAAATGTATATATATTACTTAATAATATGGCAGTATAAAAATTTTCTATTTTACTGAATAATCAAATTTATTGAATAAAATATCACAAAGTAATTTCTAAAAATTTCAAACTCAACGCGTTCTTCAATTTTCGGTTTTGAGAAACAATATTTCAAATTGACAAACGAAATGCTGACAAACACTCAACACAGAAAATATAAAATAAATTCAAAACTGTAAACTAAAATGCAAAACGAATGGGACTATTATTAAACATAAAAACATATTAACATGTATGTACAAAACCACAAAATTGGAGAATAAAATCCAAAATTAGTTATTTTCAGGTTAGATCACAGGCAGAAACAAGGATATTACGAAGAGGGCCTAATCAAGAACATTAATTTGTTTTAATTTTCCATTTTCCATTTTCGATTTTAAAACGGTTTAAACCATTTTGCATTTTCAGTTATAAGACGGAGCAAACGCATTTTCCACATTTTCAAAAATGGAAAACGAAAAACGGCCCGAAAACGCCAAACCAAACGCAGCCTAATATTCTTAAAGGCCAGTAAAAGACTGATCAATAACGTCAATTTCTGCTACAAATTCTGTCTATACATCCACCGAACATTTAAAAGAAAAAAAGAAAAAAAAGACCATTAAAAAGCAAAACAAAGCTATGGGGTCATTTTTCTTTACAAACAGGAGGGTAAAGAACATGGCAAATCAACAATAATCAGCCACGAAAAAAAATCTGAAAAACCCTCCTTTAAATTAAACCCCACAGCAAAATAAGCTTCAAGAAATGGTATGAGATGGTGGAAGTCTAAAAACAGGCTTTTGATAGCCAGATAATTGGCAAAACAAAGTTTAACTATGGCTTCAACGAGGAACTTCATCAATTTCAGATGAACATTTTGAGCGCTGCGCGTAAATTCTTCACAAAATCCTTTGCTGACATGTTGTATACTTCATCCATCTGCAAGAAATCACGAGATTTTCTATCGAGAAAAATTACGAGATTTTAAAAACTATTATTCATTAAGTACCTTAGCAACTATAGTAATGTCAAGAACAGAATCTCCAAAAGTCATGGCACTGCTATTAACAACTGAGAGATGGAGCTTCTCAATTTCAGCAATCGTTTTTTCAAAAATCCCTTTCCTTTTCTCACTGTGGATTCTTATAAGGACATCTTTATCAGAAAATCTTGCTTCTATTTCTGGAAGTGGCTCATCAATAAAGTTCTCATCCGAGGGAGATTTTTCATTGTTAGTATAAATCTCATATCTCTTGACAAAAACCACAGATTCCATGGATTTCTTCTTCCTTGATTGCTCCTCAAGAGTCTTCACTCGATCTTGTAGTTCTTTCATGTACTTAATAGCGTCACCAAGAATCGATGCCTTGTCCATCTGCTCGTAAAATGGTAAGAAAATGTATTGGCATTATGCAAGCATTTAGGGATTAAACCCTAATCCCAAGCATGAGAGCAAAAAAAAATAAAAATAAAAATCTAAAATATGAAAAGCACCCGAATATTTATGGTTCATTCTTAAAACAACTTATTATATTTGGGATATTAGGTCGATTAGTGGTCGAGAAAAAAGTGTACATTGTGTGAATCCATTCAGTTAATTCAAAATATGAATATTTGAAGAAATTAAAGTACTATAACCTTTTCAATCCAGGGACTAGGGCGGACAAAGCTATGAATCTCAGGCTGAGTGTTTCTCTCCTCTTTCTCTCAGCTATAATATGATCCTGTCCACGAGAAAGTCTATCATTTGTGCTAATTCTCTTATTCCCCGGACAAGCCTTTACAACGTGATTTCCAGTCCCACACGAAGCTTGAGAAAAAACAGAAACATTGGGGAAATTTAGAGTACAAGAAGAAGGCCATGTCTCCTCTTTAGGCTTCACCATTCCTATTTGATTGGTGAAATTGGAATTCATTGAATTGAGATTGTTTAAGGGATTAGGCCAAGTGTTTTTCTTGAGCTGTTTCGGGGAATGAGTAAATTCTGCAGCCCTTTTGGAATTCAGTATTTGTTGGGAGAAAGACTGGTAAGAACCTTCACCAATTGCAGCAGAAATCGACACTGTGCTGAGATCATCGAGTGAATTTACAGGCCAATGGTGTAGAAAACCAGTCTCATCCATTCCCTGTAAATGATGAAAATCATGTTTAATAAAACAAGATTTCTAGTTAAAATATGTTAAAATTTGCCATCATCGTTGGGTTATAACCGTCATAGAAAGACAAATTCGATGTAAAGCTTACCAATTCTTCTAAGCTCCTGATACTTGCAATCTCCATCAGCCACGCCAAGAACACTGCATGATATAAAAACAAATATGTATATATAGTTAATAACATTCAATTTAGATGATCTTAAGTCATGAACCCTAACCTAGGATAAAACTAACCCTTTGAAGACGAAGCTTGTATCTTTTTCTCAGTATTCTTGCAATTAAGAACATAGCTCAACATTTATAGGCCCAACAAATATATTCTCAATTATTTTCTCTTAAAGGTCGTGGGAGTTTTTGCTAATGTGAAACTGGCTTTGTGACATTTGAATATCTGTTTCAACATTAGTATAAACATTAAAAAATATTGCTAAAAAATCTTAGTGGTGGTTTTAAGTTGGTGTAAAGTTAAGAATTAACTAAAAGTTTCTCGGCTGTCATATTACGAATTTTAGACTTTTTTGCCGTGGAAGTTTGAAGATTGCAAGTGGAAATTAAAATTATATGAAGAAAAGAATTTTAACTATTAATTTTAGGGCATCCATGTCAACCACCGTCTGGTCCTTCAAATCAATGGAGTCATAATCAAGAAAATTTCATCCAGATTTCGTCGGAAACAGTGGCGGATTTAGTAGGTGGCCAGCTAGGGCAGCCGCCCTAGCTGGATTCATCGGGGGGGGGGGGGGGGGGGGGGGGGTTTTTTTTTTTTTGGTAATAGAAAAAAATTTTGTCACAAAACCTCTTGTTTAATCAAGAAATGCCAACAAATTAAAACTGCCAACTTTCCAATTGGTATCACAATTTCGACAAGTACAATTATTTGGAATATCATATATACCATTAATTTAAGTGCTTAACCAATTGTTCGTTTACAGATTCACGTGTTTATACACAATTTTCAAAATTGCACACTATATAATTTCTAAGAACGCAAATATAAAATGCACTAGAAAATCAACAATAATTCATCTTAAGATTGTTGGGGAATTTTACACCGATTATGTGCATATTATATTCACAAAAGCATACCGGTTATTTGCGTGAAATCGATACGTAATTTCGATTTACCGAAATAGGATTTGAGAAGCAAAACATAAAAGTTATCGAATCTGAATGCATGGATGTGGATTCATCCCTTTCGATTCTTGAACGAGAGTAAATTATTCTTTTGATCGAACCTTGCACACTATATAATTTCCCAGGCACCTTTTCCAAGCCTGTTAGTTCATTATCCAAAGATATCTGCATCACTTTTTCTGCATGATTTGCAGGTCACAGAACTCCCATTCTCTGCCTCTAAAGGAAGACTTGGTTGTGAAGGAGGTGAAGAGGTCTTCTAACTTGGACCTTTGATGCCTATACCAGTGATTACATATGCTGTATACTAATAACAAGAGAAAATGTTGATGATTCGTCTTGATTTTGACAGAGCTGGAAAGGAGAAAGCAAAGAAAGAGTTAGCTGCAAGCTATAGCTATGTTGTACCATCAGTCGCCAGAGCCGGCTTATCGTATTGGACGCAAGAATAACCAAATTCCAATTGAAATGAAATTTTGGATAAATCAATGCAAACCCCTTGGAAGAGCCAGCATGCCGTATTGGATGCAGCACACACACCAGACACCCCTCGAAAGAGCTGGCTTGTCGTATTTGATGCAGCACACACACCGAACGCCCCTCAGAAATGCCATGTGGCGTCTGTCCCTTTTTAATTTATTTTTTTCAGATTCCACTCGTTCGTAAACATGCAAACGTGGCAAGCGCCCTGAAAAATAGAGAAAAACTAACATATTCGCAAGTCCAATGAAAAAGACCATGGCAAGCAGGAGAAGTGAAAGAGGTTATTGCCAACGAGTGCAACAAAAGAGAGAAATGGAGATGGAGAGAGTCAAATCCTAAGTATTGTCTAGAGATGGTTCAACAGTAAATTCACAATGTTATGTACTTTCATATGTGTATATATATACAGCAACGAAATTAACATTGTACGCAACTCAAAAGACATTATATGTTTCCAATATAGACAGTTTTCTTGTGTCATCATTCAAGTTTCCCCGCCATGTAATGTGTTAAAAGTTCTGTGCGCAATATCCATTTCTATACAAAAAAACCAAGGAAATGGCTTAAAAACTGCCCCCAGGAAGTGCAACTTAGACCAAGTAGATTGTCTTTAATAGCTATATTGTACAAGTCGTTACAATGATGTATCTCATTATTTGATAAACATGCTGGATGCCTATAACAAAAGGTCGAAAGAAAAAAACACGCACACATTTTCCCTCAACTTTCACCAAGAACGGGTTCTTTACGCGAGCTCATAAAGTGAATGGATTTGAAGGTGGGTTAAGAATTTGAGTCTTTGACATGGTCGTGTTTCCCACAAGCACACTTGGTGCCACACTATCCTCTGCAATCACAGGATTGACCTGTACCACTCTCTCTGGCACAACCTTGTCACCATCTACCTTAGCCAACACTTCAAAGTGCATTCTCACAGTCTCAGGCTTTGTTCTCCACTCAGGAAAGCCCTCCCAGTCAAATCCATCTCCCTTACTCAGCTTCTTCTCAACTCCAAAACCTATCTTCATAAAAGTCTGTGCCGAAACATCTGCCTTCAACAGCTTGAACGAACACTCTGTGTTTGCTTTTGGACCCAGTACAGAAGATAGCAATGCCTCAAAACCAAGCAAGTTAGGGTTCCATCCATCGATGGATGTAAGAGGCCACATTGTGGTGAACCGATCAGGTGTGAGAAGGGAAGTGGCTTCTCCTTGGAGACCAATGGTGGATAAAGCATCAGCTTGCACGGATTTCCTTTTGGATGCTGTCGATAGCTCCACGAGTCCAGGTGCAAGGCGCTTCAGCTTAAGCTTGTTACCAGAACTGGTGGCTGAGGATGTAGGGGATGTTAGTGACGATGGGCCGACAATGCGAAGTGAAAGGAGGGGACCACCTTGGGAACGGGAAGCATGTTGAAGACGCTCCGCTAGTGAAAGAAGACCAGATGCAAAGTTATTATTAGTTCTATTTAGTGGAAGTGGAAGCTCAACTGGATGACGCAAGCTGACTGATCTGGCACCCTTAACAGTGACCACAGCTCCATCTGCTAAGATCACTTTCTTCAGCACACCAGCATCCACATCATGCTACATATCATTAAAAACAGCAAATTCTATTAGGAAAGAAGAGAAGTGGAGAACTAAAATTGACATGTACAACCATAAAAATGCTCAAGAGCCAACTCCTCTCCCTACAACAACAGCAGCAATGTAAGCTTTTTATTCTAAGCAAAGTCGGATTGTTTAAGTAAAGAAATAAAATATTCCGACAAACCATCTAATAACTATAATTAGAACCCATTGTCAAACATAAAAGATGAAAAAATGCTGCAAAATAATAATGATTATAAAGATAAATGAATTGAGACTTGCGGACAAGTGAACTCATTTCTCATTCAGCCTTTAACGTAATCCAAAGAACAAAATGTCCATAAAAAGCTTTCCCCATGATATATAGCAGTATCTAATCCAAATGAACCAAAAACTAATTTGAATAGCTACGTATGCCAAAAATTCCTATTTTCCAGTGAAAACTACGACTTCTTTACTTGACACAAATATTAAACTAGAGTTGTCTACCTATCAGTACTCTTTTTCAATAAAAATAAAAAAAAAAATAAAAAAAGAAGGAAGAAAAAGAAAAAAGGAAAAAGGAAAAAGGAAAAAAACCATAATAAATTAAATTTCACCTTGTCCTGCACAATGCAGATTAAATATTCTATCCCTTTTTCTTAACAGAACCGACGTAAAAAACCCGACTTTCCATTATCATATAAATAAAACAAGTATAAAATCTCTAAGCTCTTCCAAGAAGTAATGGCAGAATCATCAAACATTAAACATATAAATTGCACACTATAATTCAACATTAAACCAGGAATCGTGCAAGTTGAACTCACGGGCAACGAAATTCTCATATCTTTAGCATCCTGGATCCATAGCTCCATTGGACCAGCCAACTGGAAAGGGGCCAAAACGGGCATCTGATCCTCCAATCGCTGTCTCTCCACCAGCCCATTACCCGAATCCTCTACGCGAAAAATGGGCAAGTCCACATACTCCCATCGGTTAACGTCCTCCAAAAGCTTAAAGGGAAAAACTTTATTATCAATCTCAACATCAAATTCATATGCCACCGACCTTCCCACTAAGGCGTCCCTCAAATCAAACCCCGATATCTTAAACTCATCAGCTTGGAAACCTAATCCCTTCACAATCGCTTCCTTCAAATCCTATACTTAACATCAAAATAAGCAATACCAAATAAAATTTCGCAATTTAATTAAAGGGGAAAAAAAAACCAAAATAATTAACTCATTCTATTAGGGCCAATACTGTAGAAAAATGGGATTTCTTTAGCGAAATTGACAAATTGAAATGCTTACAGATATTGCTTTAGGGTAGGGAGGATTGATGTCTTGCGAAGCAACCAAAGCGGCAGATATTGTAAATTGAAACGCAATCACGACCAAACAAAAAGCTGCAAAAATATTCATCTTTAAAAACCTCAAAGCCATTAATTTACAAACAGGAAAAAATTAATCTTGGAACGTAAAACTAAGGGTCCGTTTATTTGATTGATTGTGCTTCTTCTGCTGCTTTAGCCAGAGAATTTAATCAGTGAAACTACAAAATAATTCCGTTTTTCACTTGACTGTTTGGAAAAGATACTGGAAAATGAGAGGCAAAGAATATCGTAGATGATTCTGGAAATGGTAGTGGGATGATGACATGGATGGAGATGGACCAATGATAATGGGTGGGTGAAGATATGCTGAGACGTTCGTTTTCATGGTATAAGACCGCAATTTCCGGGTTACTATTGGTGGAAGTAACGGCGTCGTATTACGCCATCTGGTGTGGGAAAAGGAAAAAGTATAATTACCAAAAATGGCGTCGCCCGGACTCGAACCGGAGACCTTCAGTGTGTTAGACTGACGTGATAACCAACTACACCACGACACCAGGTTGATCCTTGAAATGAATCCTTTTATCAGTATCCTAAAAAAATGTATTCAATAATTACTGAATTCCCATAGGAGAGATGATTCATTAACATCATGTTTCCAGATGAAAACTGTCTCCAAAGACAATATTTTGTTATAGTCTTAATCCATATTTACTATTTGTGTTTAATAATCAATTATTATATTATAATCACAAATGATGTACACACGGCATTATATCCCCTCACATAAAGAGGGCACACATACAATAAAAAATTCGTGAGCTCCTCCAGGTGAGGGGAGTGTAATCGATTGTGTACACTATGAGGTATACACATAGAATTATCATTTTGCTAATATATTCACATGCACATATTCTACATAGTATTCAAGCGAACCCCACCTCATGTGAGTGTGGAAAACCTTAATATACAAAAAATTATGTACACTAAGCAAAGTCATAATTTAAAATTGTGAAGACAAGTATAATTAGCTGCAATATAGCAACTTATTTGAACTTAAGATACTGAACGTGCTAGGGCTACACTAAACTCTCGAATTGAATCAAACAGTTCTTCTTAAATTAAATACCCAAATGGGTATCTGAATCTAGAACAGACGAGTTTGGTTCGATTCTAGATCAAGAACCGAATCTCCTTAATTTTTTAATTAATTTATTTTAAATAAGTTAAATTATTTTATTTTTTCTAAATAAATTTGCTAACTAGTTAATTTAGTTCAAGCCCAAAAATATGATTTTCCCACTTCTAATTTTCTATTCAAAGTCAACTTAATTAAATTGACATAAGTTTTATCCAAACTGTTACTCTGCCATAGTGTCTTTTTACTATTCTAGATAAATCAAATCAAAGCTCGACAATGCATCTCTTACTTATTTTGAGCACGCCTATCTCCCTCTTCATATGATTTTAACAATTAAACATATGAAGAACTCAAAAAGAGAGACGTAAAAGACATATAAGATTGAACTACGTTATTTTGTAAGAGTTAAAATTGAATATATCATTAGTTAAATTAATGTCACTTTGTAAATATTAAAAGAATTAATTATAATAGGGAACCTGAGAACTGAATGGAACCAAACTGAACCGAATGGAACCAAACTCGAACGGTTTCATAATTAAATTTGGACCTGACGATTTCACTTACTAAATATCCGAAAATTTCGAGTCCGATTTGTTTCTATTGAGAACCGAATCGAATCAAATCATGTCCAACCCTAGAACATGCAATGATTTTCTTCTTAATCATGTCTTGAACTAAATATACCAAATCGTGTCCTAATTGAACGCGGAACTAATTTTCCCTTAATAATTTTTTAAGTTGTATCATTATCAGCAAGCACTCATTTATCGACAGAATTATTTAAAAATTGAGAACAATAAAAAGTTCTCTTATAGCTTGAGGTTGTAGGTTTGCAAATTGGTACAAAAGATGAGCTCGGAAGTTTTATTTATGAAAAAGTAATAAAAATGCATGAGTTGTCTTATTATTTATAACGTATAGAACACCTTATTCATAAAGTATAAAGAAGAAGATTTAGAAAGATCAGGATCTTACACTAGTCATTAAAAATTGTGGAATTTTCTTAGTGAATAATAAGAATAAGAATATAGGTTATTGTAATTGAGAATAATTAAATTATGATGAATATTTTGAGAAAGAATTATTATTTCTACCACATATTTATTTTAACCTAGAATGCTATAGTGCATTTGTATTCACTTTTACATATATCATCATAAACTACCTAATAAGCCCCTGTTTTACAAACATTATTTTAAAACTTTTTTTTTTTTTTTTTTACATAGTCATTTTCAATCATAAATTCACACAATAAAACATTTTGCTCGTAAATCTACAAATTTTTCTTACTTTTTAATCACACGTTCTCCAAAACTCTCGAATCGAATCTGAACCGAATCGAGCGGTTCTTTTTAAGTTAAATGCTCGAACGGGTATCTGAATCGAAAATCGTCGAGTTCGGTTCGATTCTCAATTTTAGAGCAAGAATCGAAAAACTGAATTAGGACTGAATCTCTCTAATTTTTTTAATTAATTTATTTTTAATAAGTCAAATTATTTGATTTTTCTAAATAAATTTGCTAACTAGTTAATTTAACTCAAATCTAAATATATGATTTTCATATTTCTAATTTCCAGTTCAAAGCCAACTTAATCAAATTAACCTAAAATTTATTCAAATTCATTACTCTACCGTAGTGTGATTTCTACCGTTCTGGAGAAATCGAATTGTAGCTCTACAACGTCATTCTTAATTATTTTGAACTCCTTATCTTCTTTTTACTGTGATTTTAACAATCAAATCTATGAAAAACTCAATAAAGAGATATGCAAAAAAATATAAGATTGAACTACGTTATTTTGTAAGACCTAAAATTGAATATATCATGAGTTAAATTAATATAACTTTGTAATTATTAAAATTTTTTGTTATAATACGGAACATGGGAACTGAATGGAACCGAACGAATTAAATTGGGACCAGACGATTCCACTTACTAAATACTTGAAAATTTTGGTCCAATGTCCAGCCCTAATCAAAACTTATATATATTTTTTTCATTCATTTTGAATGTTTTGAAAACACTCAAAACACAAAAAATAAAACAAATCAAACAATTAAAATGTATATATATTACTTAATAATATGGCAGTATAAAAATTTTCTATTTTACTGAATAATCAAATTTATTGAATAAAATATCACAAAGTAATTTCTAAAAATTTCAAACTCAACGCGTTCTTCAATTTTCGGTTTTGAGAAACAATATTTCAAATTGACAAACGAAATGCTGACAAACACTCAACACAGAAAATATAAAATAAATTCAAAACTGTAAACTAAAATGCAAAACGAATGGGACTATTATTAAACATAAAAACATATTAACATGTATGTACAAAACCACAAAATTGGAGAATAAAATCCAAAATTAGTTATTTTCAGGTTAGATCACAGGCAGAAACAAGGATATTACGAAGAGGGCCTAATCAAGAACATTAATTTGTTTTAATTTTCCATTTTCCATTTTCGATTTTAAAACGGTTTAAACCATTTTGCATTTTCAGTTATAAGACGGAGCAAACGCATTTTCCACATTTTCAAAAATGGAAAACGAAAAACGGCCCGAAAACGCCAAACCAAACGCAGCCTAATATTCTTAAAGGCCAGTAAAAGACTGATCAATAACGTCAATTTCTGCTACAAATTCTGTCTATACATCCACCGAACATTTAAAAGAAAAAAAGAAAAAAAAGACCATTAAAAAGCAAAACAAAGCTATGGGGTCATTTTTTCATTGTGTAAAATTTTTATTTTTACAATATTTACCAAAATTAATTCCCGAAGGAAAGGGTTAGAACCTATAACTTCTAGAGTTAGGATGATTGGAAACTTAATCATCATGGTAATGGTTGAATTTTGATTCTAAATTTAACAAAATAATATATGCTAAGACTTTACAAAAGGTTTTTTTGTTTTTAAATATTTTATGCTTTAATAATTTATAAGATATGACTTATGAGTGTTGAGTTTTAATTTATATGTTATTTTAGAATTTGTCTACTGTGAATTGTAATATTAAAAATTAATTTGAGTATTGTGAAATGTGAATATGTGATTCATGAAAATTGAAAATGAGAAATTGGGGAATTTATAATTTGTGATGAATTGGTGTTGAGAATTGAAAATTGAAACTTTAATTATATTTTAAAATTAATTTTAATTATGTTTAATCTTTGATTAACGTTCAATTCTCATACTAATTATGGAATGATTTTTTCAACTGAATTTTAATCTAGTTCTTGTAGTGGTGTATCTAATCTCTCAACTACTTTTAGCCAAGCAAATAATTTGTTAAGCATTGATAACACAAAGAAATCTTATACATCATGTAAATTATATTATTTCGGATTGTATGGAAATATAATATGATATAAATATACGATTTTTATGTTTTAGTATATTTACATATAGATCAAAGAATTTTTAATATTATTTAATATAATATTAATAAACGATATCGCTATACAACCATTAATTAGATTAACGGCCGCCCTATTTGAGTCGAAATCCTGAATTCACCACTAGTCGGAAACCTCTGTATCAACATCTCGTTGACTCATATTTGTTCTTTTGTGCATGTTTATTAAATGACAGCTTCAAATATATTATGATGAAGAAACTTTTCTTAATTAATTAGTATATGGTTGGCTTCCGACCAAAAATGTAGGCGAATTATTATAAAGTGTATTTTATTTTAAATTGTCAACGTAATAGCTTGCGTAGGAGTTAATACGCATTTTTCTTTTATTTATCGGTCTTTTATACCATCTTCTTTTTCACTATCACTCACGATATATATACATATTCAACAACTTATTTTTACCCTATATATCTAGAAAATATTCTAACACTTTCTCGACCCTCATCCCTACCCCCATCAACATGTGTTTCTCTCCCACCCACTCTTTTTGTGTTCCTCAAGTAAAGGTAGGGATGTCAAAAAAGTTCGGTGGCTCGGGAGGCCTGTTGCTCGGCTCGTGGCTCGGACCAACCGAGCCAAAGCTCGGGCCGAGCCCCAAAAAGGAGCAATGGCCCGAGCCCGGGCCGGCCCGTGGATTGACGGGCCGGCCCGTTTAATTTAAAACAAAAAATAAAATAAAATAAAATAAATAGGCTGCCGGCAGCTTTATAGCTGCCTGTTGGCAGCAGCTAAACTGCTGCCAACAGGTAGCAGATTTGCTGCCGAAATGGCAGCAGTCTAGCTGCCAACAG